AAAGCCATATGAGAAATTTGCATGAGAGCTGGGCAGAGGACTCATTTGGTTATGTTGTTGGTTCTCCTTTCTTTAACAAATAATCACTGTTTCATGCCAATAGATTTTTAAAAATCAAAAGTGAAAGGCAATGACATGATGAATGAGATCATGATTTTAATAATCTCTCAGTGTAAGGGAAACAAGAATAATTGTAAGGAAGCCTCCACTGCTAAAGAAGGCACGACTCTTCTGAGCACACCCGGCATAGTTCTCCCTCATCCCAGTTTTGTGGTGGTTTATTGTTTTCTGTGAGATTCCCTCCATGTTTTGGAGTGGTGCGTGCATCGAGCTTGAGACCATTGCTCATAGACCAGGCTGATTGGACACCACGGGCTGAATTCAGAGGGATGTCCCAGAGCACCGGGTTGGGTGAAGTAGGTCAGGCCATTTTCTGTTAGTAGATTTAATGGGAAACAAATCTGTTCTGAATTCTTTCTGTGCATCCTTGCTGTTGTGGACTGAAATCAGATCCTTACATAATGTGTTTTCAGAGCTGTGCCTCCAGAGTCATATGCAGAGCAGTGCAGGCTGTGTGCCTCTTCTCTCCTCATCAGAGATGTGACCCTGCAGAAGTGGCATCCAAATCTCTTTTCCCTCTGACCCGGAGGCTTCTGGCAGAGCTGTTACTGGCAGCTCTTCCCCAGTCCTGCTATCAGCCATTCCACCAAGAAATTCTTGGGCCACAAGTGACTTCTGTCACTTCTGCATCCCTCGAGCTTTCACGGCCTCGCCAGGAGCCCAGTGCACCCCAGGCAGGCGCCTGGGCTTAAGGAATTACTGAGCCCCAGCCTGCTCCGCTCCAAACAAATCTGTACCTTAAAGGGGCATTCCATCTGAACCAGCCTCATTACAGAAAACATTTCCTCTTACTGGTAACAGTTCAGGAGAGAAAGGTCTTTGAGTGCTTCCTTAGGATAAGGGTTTGGAAGGTAGAATCTTAAACACACACCTGGCGTGAAATAAACAGGGCCACAGGCCTTATCAGGCTTTATTTTTAGACTCAGAGACTAGTAGTTAAAGAATTGTTTTGAAATACCAGCTGAGTAAAACTGAATTTATTATTAAAGAAGAAATACAAGACATTAGGTGTTACTTCTGAATTTTTGCTTTCTGTTCCAAACACTGTTATTTTAGCCCAGTATTGTTATTTGTGCCTTTGTGTTTAAACAAATTGGTTTAATCAAATTCAAAACTACTTGCAGTGACTTACAGGTGACTTACTGGCTGGAGGTAGAAAGATAGTGAGGAAAAAGAGAGAAAGGGACAGACAGGCACCCCAAGAAAAAACATTAACGCCTTGCTAGGATTCATCAGCCACCCTCACAACTGCTCTCTCCTGAAACCAGTCACATCAATCCTGACTGGCAGCAGTGGATCAGCCGATGAGCTTTGAGGGCAGGCTTATGCTCCTGTGTGTCAAGAAACATTCTGTCCTGCAGAGCAGGCAAAAAAATTGGGGGTGAGGGGGAGTAAAGGAAGGATAAACAGACCCACCCCAGCTCAGCTCAGCTCAGCAGAAGAGGAGCAGCTTCTGCAGGCCAAATCCCAGGAGGCAGGAGTGGAACCATGGCATGAAGGAGTGGAACCATGGCGTGAACAGGCCAAGACCTTGGTGAGAACCTGGGCCAGAAGCAGCTTGTGTCTGAGCTCACTCGCTGGCTCTGTGCAGACCTTAGCACCTCCATGTCCTGCTCCCATTCAGTTCAGCACCAATCATATCCAGTTAAGTCCTAAATTCAGCAGAATGTCTGTCTTCGGTTCCTGATTAAGTTTCTACTCTTGAATTTTGAGAAATTTTATTTTGAAAGATAAGAGGTGTGGCTTCTCACTTATTTCCAGGGACAACTTGTATGCCAAGTTTCAGCAATGAAAGTTTATGAGGTTCTAGATGAAGGTAGAGACCTAAACTTCCAGGTGAAAAAATAATAAAACTGCAGCAGATCCTTGACTGACATCGTAGTAGCAAGTGTCACTGTGAGGCTCCTCTTACAGTGTAGATCTAGGGTCAGTTTTCCATCTTTTTCATGTCAATTATTTCAGTTATATATAAAATATAAAATGCCCTGCATGCTCAGGAACAAAGCAAAATAAGAGTTCTTTTAAATTTAACTTATGGAGTGAAAATAGCTGAAAAAATATACTTAATTTTTACAAAAAATGCTCAGCTTGGGTAATACGATCTATAGATTGCTTTCATAATGAACCTAAATTTGAAGGTTAACATTTAAACAAATGCATAAATAATTTAGGTGAAATAGCTAAGCTTCAGTCCCATTAAACTTAGGCTCCTAAGTGCCTAAATAGCCTGCAGGAATGGGACTCAAGCACTTCAGGAAATTTTACTCAAACCTTAATAGACTGTTCACCTCCCCTCGGAGCATGCTGCCTGCCGTGCCCGGCGAGTGCTCTCGGTGAGACAGCAATTTTGCAATGGAAGTAGCATTTAGTATCAATTTTTTAAATTGTTTTGCATATTTGCTACTGAGGTAGACGGCTTTGCGTCTTTTCTGTATGGATCGGGAGCATAACTGGGAATTGTGTTTCTGATGGAGAAGTCCTAGAGAACTCCCTGGAAAAGCGCTGAGCGGGAGCGCTCCGGGAACCGCAGCGGATGCAGCGGGCCGGGCCGGCCCGCAGCGGGAGCGGAGCCACCGGGCTCCTCTCGGGGGATCTCGGGCTCCCGCAGGGGGGGGGTCTCGTCCGGCAGCCGGCCGGGGACCCACCCCT